TCTGCAGATCTTTCGTTGCCATAAGACTAGCATGATTAGGACGCGTGGTGTGAAGATGACGACATACAGCTGGGAACGTCGCCTCCGTCAGCTCCCACGGTCTTTTGACAGAGTCCGGCTGGTGCAGTGCTGCAGTTCTTTTGATCATGTCGAGAGCATCATGCCCCGCAAGTCTCAGCTGCTTTCCAAGGATGTGTATCTGTCATCACCCAATGCAGAGCAGAAGAAGGCCGCTCCACCTCTGAGTTCTGGTAGGGCAGGTGCCTGGAGTGAATTGTGTGGACCATCTGGCACACAGCATGATGGCAGGCTGGGAGATATCAGCTTGTCCAAGAGACCTTTGCTAATGGCTATCCGAATCCTGCCGCACACTAATCAAACGTGATGTCCTGTTTCTTGTGTGTTCTGCATGTGCTGTCCACTAAGGATATGGAGAAGCGGGCAGGGTGACAAGGCTGATAAGGTTCTGTACACGGGGAGAGACGGCCGGTGGTACGTGAGCAGTACCTCGGCAAAATTTTGTAGCACGATGTCATGGAGACAGCTGGTCAACATGGAAGATTTCTCTTTGCACCCTCGCTCATCAGGCCTTGCCGAAGTGGTGCAGAGGTCGTATGACTGCACTCTTGGAAGAGTGTCTTGTGCAGACCCACACGGTGGTGCATCTCGTCATCAAAAGGTAGTGCTTCACGGTGTTTCGTTGAACTAGAGCTGGGCAGGGATGAACTTTAGTTGCCCTTGCGCTTTGTAAGGTGATGCCGACACAGCTCTTCGAAGCATGGCAGTACAAGACCGAAGAAGGACACAGAATGGGTCTGGGCCTGGCGGGTCTTCTGGTACGTTTCAGTCACCTTTCTCTGAGAGTTCTGTGTATCTCCAAACCGCTGGCGTGCCGCATCCAGCTTGAAGTGATTCTGCTTTGAAACGCTTCCGCGAAGGGCCGGGGAGTAGAATTTTGATGGATTGCAATATTGTGAACGCATGAGAAGACGACCGGAAAGTACGGCCTTGACCCTGCAGTGGTCCACTGAGACAAATATGCCTCAGGCTTAGAATCTTAGCCAGCCACACCAATTTTTACGTTTTCATCCTCGCCTATGACATCAACAAGTCAACATCGGCATCATCATCGAGTCTTCACCTGCCTCACAACCCATGAGTTTTTTCAATCATGTTGCTCTTCTCTTCGCTCCCCAACTCGCTTTCCGGACCCGTCCCGGGCCAGTTTGGAACTGCTCGAAAGATTTCGAGATTGTGGGAGATTCTGCAATGTTGGTTTAGGCAGCCTAGTTCCCAACCCTGGTGCAGACGAACAGCATCGTTTGTAAAACCACGAGGTTCAGGTCTTTGGTCTAGTCGCCGGTTTGTTTGATTTCTCTTGTGGGCAGCTTTGGGCTAGGATACCTGCTCCTAGTCGTTTGACGGGTCACAAGCAAACTTGTGCTAGGAACTGACACCAGGTGGGCAGGCCACCTAGACACCTTTTCGGACGAGTGATGCTGGTTCGTCGCAGGTTGGTGCTTGGACAGGGACATCGTCATGTCAGAAGAGCCGACTGAAGCGGTGAAGCAGTTGTACGTGGCTTCGCATACCGTTCACAGCCATGTCAGCGGGATATATTCTCTGATACCAGGCACAGAAGTGGCGCAAGTAGGCTTCGAGAGTGATTTAAGTTTGTTCCTGTCCATGAAAAGAGGCCAGCTGGCAAACGATCAGCCACTTTGGAAGAGAGAAGGGTCCGGAGAAGAGCTTTGGCTGTACGGCGGTGCGGATGGCAGATGGCATGTTGCTTCTCAAGCATATAGGCCACAGGCTACACAGTCGTTTATCTTTCTGTACAGTACGCTGGCTGCTAAACTGTAGCCACAGCTCAGGTTGCTGATCGGCAGGCAGGGTTCTGATCAAAGTCTGCACGACAGCTTATGCCACCGCAACGCTTGCATGAGACCTTCCAACGCATGAGATGTTTCCCGAGGCCTACGCAAAAAAGTTCGTTGGCGACAGCGGCTTTGTCTGCTCGAGCCCCCATGGTGGGGTCATGCCAGACATGCTGCCAGGAAGGTGGCATTCGTGCAGCTCCCAGTGGTCACGGATGTCTCGTTGGCTGACTCGTTCCCCCATGTTGTCGTCTGCTGCAATCGCAGTCTTGCAGTCAAGGTCCCTGAATGCACACGACCTTGTGCCCGCTCCCGAAGTTGCTGTGACGGCCCGGTTGCCGGACTACCCACAGGAATTGACCCTTCTAATGCCGAGTGGTCAGCAGCGCCTTGGTTTAATTGCATGCATGGCCGATTGTGTTCAAGCCTTACCTTGTTCACCCGGCTTGTGATGCCAGGAAACTTGCGGGCAAGTACCAGATGGTCTCGGGCTGCGCTGCCAACGGCCAGTGCATCTGGAAGCGTGTTGGAGCTGGAGAGGAGGTGCCTGCAATGCCTTTCCTGTGCTGCCCTCTCCTAGAGCTCGAAAGTGCCAGGCATGGTTCTACAGTGGAAATACTGGTCATTGGCATGTCGGCGGTGTGAAAGCTCACGGGTTGTCTTTCAATTGCAGCTTCCGGCATTGGTCACGGGCCTGTGGATTTGGGATGGAAAAGTGTGTTGCGGCTTTCAGGTAGCATTGGCAACGTCGCATCTGCTCACCCTCATGGAGGAATGCTGCCTTGCTATGAAACCCGTGGTTGGAAAGTCAGGGATGCTGAAGGCCTGCCGCTGTCATGCGGCCATGAGCACTACCAAGTTCCCACATGTCCTGCTCGCCTCAGGCTGGAAGGTGGCTAGTGATGCAAGGGTGCTACGAGGATCGCTGGCCTCAGCTTTCCCGCCGGTGCTGCACGTGGTGGCCGGGTGCACGGCCTCACCACAGCTCGCGAAGGCCGGAGTGTGCCTTGGCTGCAACTCCCAGCGCAGTTGGAGAGGTAAAGGCCAGGGTCCTTTGTTGGAGCTCAGGTACCAACTCCTCTGGGATGAGTACCTGAACGGCCAGCCGGTGTGGGGAAGAGCGGAGCCGGGCGAGAGCTGTCTGCTGTACAGTTCGTGCGATGGTTTCTGGTGCATCTCTCGACAGGCTTTCGGACCTTTGAAACCGGCAAAGACTTGAAGCCAGTCCTTCGTGAGCTTACTTTGCCTAAGCGCTGAGACGTGTGCCGGAGGTTTGTGAGAGGCACAGCAAATGCTGCATGGGAAGCCTGGCATCTCTCCTACCCCATGGTGGCTCCATGCCTCATCTTTGTTACGAGGGGTGGCAGGCGGGGAAAGGCTTGCCGGACTCACCGGGACCCCTTCGCTTTGGATGCTCATGTTCGCTTTCCGCCAGGTGAAGCGAGACATCGGCTGGGATTCAGACTCCAGCCTCATGATCCAGACCAATCCACCCGAAGGTCCCGCAGTCCTGCACGTTACCTGCGAGCTTGGGGAGCATGTCTCAGGCAAATACTGGCTCGTTGAAGGCACGACGCTCTCAAAAAACATGCTACACATGTCTGACAGCGCTTTCTCCGTCTTTCCCAAGGTGAATTCAGAAACCACCGGCATGTCTGGAAGCGGGCGAACTCTGCCGAAGGGCCGTGGATCTCAAGTGGCTCCGATGGCTCCTGGTTCCTCCAATGTAGTCCAAGCTCTGCCTGCTGCCGTGCGGGACCTGTGGGGCCTGTGGAAGTCACCTCGCTGCGTGGGGACTCCTATGTGACCGGCGAGTATTTGCCCGTGGAAGGTCTCCGGACAAAGTGTTTTGAGCTAGGGCCAGCTAGCACAGCGAAATCCCCTTCACTTGCGGTGCAGGTCAGGAGGGTTCCACCTGGAAGCTCCGCCGCACGCACTGACCTTTGCCGCCGTGACGTCTGCGTCTAAGGGCCCGAGTGAACTTCACATTTCAGTTTTTACAAGTTTGATAATGCAATGCTTGTCTGACGCCGCCAAGCGGTGCCCTGCTTGCTTTCATGGGTTCGGGAACCTTGACTACTCACCTAGATGAGTCTGTGTCCCGATCTCTGCCTGTTAATGCTTCGCCTGCAGCCTGCCTGAGGCATGTGCTGCATCCAATATGTTAGGTTCAATGTTACGTCGCTCAAAGTGACCATCTCGACATCTAGCAGATCTAGCACCCAAGGAAAATGATGGAGGCTCCTTCCGTCATGATGCAACCGATAACCGCGTGCGCGATGCCACAACGAGCGACCTTGAAGACTGAAAAGCACATTCAACTTGTGCTCGATTGCATGAGATTGCATGAGCCTGGCTTCCCTTGGCCTTGCATTGGGCACGCACTGCATCTTGGTGTCGGGCACCTGCGTGCAAACGTGCGGGACTTGTGCCGACTTGCCGTGCACTGCAGTCGCTTGAAGACGCCGACGCTTTCACTGTTGCCACCTCGACACTACTGCACATCAGTACCGCAAAGCCCGCGTTAGTGCCTCCCAGTTGCAAGAAAGCTTGGCACGCCTTTTCACTCCCGGATTCGGCCTTTGGGTGGGGATGGTTATTGATGAGAATGTCAATGGTCGTCGCCTCCGAAGCCCACCCAAAACCAGCCTATGCACTGCTCTACCTCACGGCCAACATGCACTGAAATCGCATGGCACGTATCGCCGTGCTTCTTCGATGGATGGCAATGACGGCCCGCACAGTGCCGAGACGACTCTGCACGGCTCTTTTTCGCCTAGCCTGCTTTGGTGAGAGCAGCCCCCGTCTTTGCAAGCGGACAAGATGTCGAGAGACGTGAACGGCCAGCGCGGATCTACTCCTAGGCTGCCGCACGCTCCGCACATGCTACCCGGCCAGCCACATAGGTTCAACCCCGGTCGCCTCAGCAGTGGATTTTATGCGATTCGATCGTATTCGATCCCTGCGGACCTGCAGACACACTGGCCCAGCGCGATCACCGAGCTAGATTCAGATGCCAGCGAGGCAGATCCAATTCTTAGGACTGCTAAGTCAAGTTGCTAAGACGAGTCATTTGGGAGCGATTCTCCAAGAGCAGTGCGCGACAAAATAAACAGCACAAGCTACACTGAGTCGCCTCGCAAACAGACTCCAAACGACAAACACAGAATGTAAATGCCAAAGTTGCATGCACTTCCGAAGTTCGACGGCGCCTGTGCCACTCTGCTCCTCCGCGCCTGCGACTTTCATCCCCGCTCGCTCCACACGCCCATGTGCTTTCTGCGGCCACTTCCTCTGGCGCTCCCGCTACAGAGGCTTCGCTCTCGCAAGACCCGAGTTGGCCAGCTCGACACCGTGCTTGTGTGGCCCGCAACGGCGCAAGTGCTTCAGGACTTACCCGAGCTCGCGATATGCCGCAGCCGACTCGTCGCCTTCGGCTTGCGGGCGTCGGGGCCCCAAGGCTGATGCAGGGCCACCGTATAACGCGTGCTGGCCAGCTGTGTTCGTACCGCCCTCGGTACAGTCGCCGATGCTGCTGGGGATCCAGGTTTGCACGAAGTCCAGGACGTCCGCTCGCCTAGCTTTAGCCATGTCCCCGCGCGAGCCTGACGCAGTAGCATGCTGTGAACGTCGCCGCCATTCTTTTTCTGTGATCGGTTCCGGAGCTTCTAAGCAAAAGGCCAAGGGTTTTTCAAGGAAGCCGGACCGAGTCCAGAACCCTAGGGTTCTTTACGCGTGTATCCGGGAGGCCAGACCATCGATTCTCCAAGGGGAACACTGCCACAGGCTTCCGGGAACCCAACAATTAAAAGGTTTTGGGGATACCCAACAATGCCAGGCTTCCCGGCCCGGCGGGGCGCCGGCACATGCCGACAAGGACTGCCCCGCAGAGCGGAGACGACCTGAGAGGTCCCAATTCGCTTGGCAAATGCGCACGCGCCGAGTCCCGCGCTGCAAAAAAGCATCTGTAAACCCGAGAGATGGATCGCTATCCACATGGGGCCCGAGAGCCGATCCTTCGACCGGAGAATTGAGAAACAAACCATGTTGGCGGGAATGCTAGCGAACATTCGACAAGACCCGCAAGCGCACTTATCGTTGGGACAGTTCAAGCACGTCACTGCGGATGTTTCGGATCACACAGGACGGCGCAGGCAGTGGGTGGCCAAACCTCGGCCAAGTACGAAGCTAGAACGTGGGCGGAGTTACAGCAGAGGTTTACGATAATCGGCACCATTGGCTGCAGACGACGTGCAGGGACGACATCATCATCCTGCAGGAATTGCACTGGGGCTGTGGGAGGACGGAAACCACTTGGCAAATTCCGTGCTGGACCTTTTACATGTCTGCGGATCCGAAGCAGAGGTGCAGTGGCGTCAGAATATAGCATCACACCGGGTGACCACTGCTGCCAAGTCTAGTTTCATGGATTCCTGGAAGGCTTTTGCATGTCAGATGTATCAAGGAGCACATTGTCCTGGATGTGATCCGTGGGAACCAATGGGTGTGGCAAACGCAAAAGGCAGGGTGATGAAACAGTTGTTAAGTAAAGCATACATTAAACAACTCCTGTCCAGTGCCACTGCGCAGACCGCAATAGCGGAGGTCAATAAGACGATCCTTACCCGCCTTACCCAAAGCAAGCAGCTGTAGCCGCGGGGTCAGCCTAGTGTAACGCAAGCGGCCGAGAATGTTTGGAGTCAGGCCACCCCTCGGCCGGAAGAGCGCAAGGCATCCATGGCACAATCGTAGCGTGTGCCGAAGTAATCAAGGCCAGTCGCGCTGCTAGGAACGCTTGGTTTGAGGAGGGGATTGCTGAAGCCGAGCAGGCGGCGACCAAACACGACTTAGGGGAGGTGTGTAGGAGTGCAGGGTTCCTAGCACCCAAAAGGCGGAGAGAACAGGTTAGGATTCGGGGTTCAAAAAGACAATTGTTGGGCCACCAAAGCTGAATTCGGTGAGATGGTGGATAATGCAAAGCTGGTCTGTAATCGTGGTCCTTCTTTTCGGCGACGTCGTCGTCGCAGCGAGTTCTGCTGCGGGTGGAAATCTCGACGCCAACGGCCCATTTAAATCTACCGAGCTCAGGGTAAGCGTCACACCGTCTCCGCGTAATGGCTGCGGCTGAGTGTCGGCGAGCACGTCGGCCTCGCCGCGCCGAGTCTACGGGAGTGCCATCAAACATGCCAATGCCGCGCGCCTTCGGACTGCCCAGTCATTTTCAGGATTTCATTCCTGGACCGACACGTATGTCGTGTCAGCGTCCGAACGCACCGGTGAGCTGCACGTATGTAACGCTGCCGGCGAGGAGCCCGCTGGCCGTGCCCGGCTCTATCGGCGCAGAGCCTATGGGCGTTTGGTTTTTTTCTGCGGACCAGCAACGGCGGAACATCAACCCATCACAAAACTCTCCGGCTCCTGGGTCCCCGGCAAACACCACTCCTGACCTTTGGCAGCAGCACAGCCGTGGCCGGCTGGATTACTCCAGCGATTCGGTTGTGATTACCCTTTGCCCTTATTGTATGGACCTTGTGGGTACCAGCTCTGATTGCCCCTCTTGCTTGGGATCCGAAGGCCGAGAGAATCTAGATAAGCTCCAGAATCCCATCGGTATTCCCACATTAAGCCCTTGTCCCAGCATGGCACCCAAGGCCGTAGATGTCCTCTTGTCCAGGGTAAAAGCAGGGAATGCCATACTGGTAGTAGCCAAAAACAATTTGGAACGGGAGCTTGCGCTGGATGTATCGCTCGGGACTACGGCCCTGGAAGTGTGGATGGTGGACTCCGTGACCGATCCCCTTAGGACAATCCGACGTTTTTAATGATTGGTTCTGTGAAGCAATTGCACCAGATCTCCACGACCCCCTGTGAACCCTTCCGTGGCCACAGATTGCCCCTAACAAGTTTTGCTTCAACCCTGAACCTTGGTTCCATAACGTAAAGCTACGCAGTGGGGAAGCAAGCGTGCAACATACAGCAAACTGGCTTTCCCCTTCCGGTTGTACAAGCAGCTTATGAAACACCCCCAGGTGAAATCATCACCCCCAGGTGAAATCATCTCGAATCTTGATTTGCCCAATCTCAACCTACAGCCGGAGCTCGAGATCATTTACGGCGCAGGTACCTGCTTTTTCCATACCCTGTATTTCCCGGTCACTGCTATGTACAGATTACACATTACGAACACATACGAAAGCACAGAATTTGCCGGCTCCTACCACACCGCCGCTCTGCTCTGTGTGAGACTGACCTTTTCCGGAGTGCAAGCCTCCTGCCTTTCAGTTTGCGCGGTTTTTCGAGACACAGCCTAGAACAGCGCCGGACGAGTGACTTTTTCAGGTTTTACACCCTGTGAGCGGCGGCCTCCACGGGAGGCGGGCCGGGAAGCCGCTGGCTTCTTAACCGATAGTAGCCCGCCCAAGAGGCGTACTTACGCTATTTCGTTATCCACATTTATGCTATGATGCCTCGGATAGCTTGTAGCAGACCCGCTAATGCGGATGGTTCTTTCGCATCGCCCTGAGGGCAGGCGTATGCCGGGGCTGCCTTGCGCCACGCTCGCCCGAAGAAGGGGCGCACTCAGAACTCTGCAACACCGGCCGCTGTCGCCTGGACGTGCTAAGCATACAAACCGGCGGCAGGTGGTGCGCCGAAGCTGCTACTCGGCTCCTTGCCCGCTCCCGCGTTTAGGCATCTCTGCTGACGTGCTTCGGTGGTCCGCCCTGCTCACCTTTGCTGCTGCCCGCGCCTTCGCGACCAGCCTCCGTTCCCTGCCGTTTTCCGGTGCCGCGAACGTGGATGGAGATGCTCCCCTTGGCCTGCTCTGCTCCTCTTGCCAGCCGCGTGCCCTGGCATGTGTAGTCTGGCCTTGGATTCGGGCGACCAGCACGGGGACCGTGTGAACAGCAAAAAAAGGTACACGGGGGAAAAAAGAAATGGT